TTTACTAATTCGTTCTTTCAATTTATAAATCGAGGGAACGAACTAGTAAATCGTGCGCACAATTTATAAATCGAGGGAACGAACTAGTAAATCGTGCGCACAATTTATAAATCGAGGGAACGAACTAGTAAATCGTGCGCACAATTTATAAATCGAGGGAACGAACTAGTAAATCGTGCGCACAATTTATAAATCGAGGGAACGAACTAGTAAATCGTGCGCACAATTTATAAATCGAGGGAACGAACTAGTAAATCGTGCGCACAATTTATAAATCGAGGGAACGAACTAGTAAATCGTGCGCACAATTTATAAATCGAGGGAACGAACTAGTAAATCGTGCGCACAATTTATAAATCGAGGGAACGAACTAGTAAATCGTGCGCACAATTTATAAATCGAGGGAACGAACTAGTAAATCGTGCGCACAATTTATAAATCGAGGGAACGAACTAGTAAATCGTGCGCACAATTTATAAATCGAGGGAACGAACTAGTAAATCGTGCGCACAATTTATAAATCGAGGGAACGAACTAGTAAATCGTGCGCACAATTTATAAATCGAGGGAACGAACTAGTAAATCGTGCGCACAATTTATAAATCGAGGGAACGAACTAGTAAATCGTGCGCACAATTTATAAATCGAGGGAACGAACTAGTAAATCGTGCGCACAATTTATAAATCGAGGGAACGAACTAGTAAATCGTGCGCACAATTTATAAATCGAGGGAACGAACTAGTAAATCGTGCGCACAATTTATAAATCGAGGGAACGAACTAGTAAATCGTGCGCACAATTTATAAATCGAGGGAACGAACTAGTAAATCGTGCGCACAATTTATAAATCGAGGGAACGAACTAGTAAATCGTGCGCACAATTTATAAATCGAGGGAACGAACTAGTAAATCGTGCGCACAATTTATAAATCGAGGGAACGAACTAGTAAATCGTGCGCACAATTTATAAATCGAGGGAACGAACTAGTAAATCGTGCGCACAATTTATAAATCGAGGGAACGAACTAGTAAATCGTGCGCACAATTTATAAATCGAGGGAACGAACTAGTAAATCGTGCGCACAATTTATAAATCGAGGGAACGAACTAGTAAATCGTGCGCACAATTTATAAATCGAGGGAACGAACTAGTAAATCGTGCGCACAATTTATAAATCGAGGGAACGAACTAGTAAATCGTGCGCACAATTTATAAATCGAGGGAACGAACTAGTAAATCGTGCGCACAATTTATAAATCGAGGGAACGAACTAGTAAATCGTGCGCACAATTTATAAATCGAGGGAACGAACTAGTAAATCGTGCGCACAATTTATAAATCGAGGGAACGAACTAGTAAATCGTGCGCACAATTTATAAATCGAGGGAACGAACTAGTAAATCGTGCGCACAATTTATAAATCGAGGGAACGAACTAGTAAATCGTGCGCACAATTTATAAATCGAGGGAACGAACTAGTAAATCGTGCGCACGTGTGCGGGGCTCCGTAAATAACAAATCAGTGAAACGTTATTTTAGACTTGTGCCGGTATTCGGCAATGCGATATATTACGGTAATGAATATGCACGATATTGTTATCGTGGGCACTTCTAAATACCGTGAATAATTATATATAACAAATTATTAATAATTTTTAATGCATTTTAAGAATACTTTTCCCATAAACTGGTCAAAATGCACAACACCGCTGTATGCTGCGTGAAAGACATCTGTGTAAAACTTTTAACTTTATACATTTCTGTATTGCTTTATTGCATTTAAATGTTCAGTTATTTTTGTTATAAGAAAAAAGTTATTAAACCTGTTATACTGTATTATGACAGCACTTTTTTTAAAAACTAAATTTCAACATCGTGATAATACCGTATACCGTGATAAAAGCATTAGCAATTAATCGCAACATGAAAATTTGATACCGGCATATCCCTACGTTATTTTAATATCTTTAATATAAGTGTTTTCCTAAATTTAACCAACAAGGCTAGATAGGTCCGTGGTCTGCTTTTCACATCTTTTAAATCAGACAAACAAAGGAAATTTGTCTAGTTAGCGGACTAGTAAACAGGACTAATCAGAATTAGGGCCAGTCCACACATATGTAAACTATATAGGTAAACATGCGCTAGATGGAGGATATTTGTTTTTGAAATTCCCAGCCTTGCCTGTCACAGTACACTACAAAAAAAAAAAAAAAATTAAAATAAAGGGCACAATGTATTTTATTAATATGAGGGAATTTTCTGTAGGGATTTTTTTTTACAGGTGTTTTACCTGTACTTTTCACTTTACTTCTTTGCGTTGAGTTAAAGGGGTCATAGGATGCTACATGCACTTTTACATGTTGTTCGAACTGAAATGTGTGTTGGCAGTGTGTGTACACAACCACCCTAAAATGATAAAAATGCACCCAGTGTTTTTTTTTTTATCTGGTTAAATGTTTTCCCCTTTCTCAAATCGAGCCGATCTCAGATGCCTGTCTGTGTGACGTCACACAGACAGGCATCTGAGATCGGCTCGATTTGAGAAAGGGGAAAACATTTAACAGATTTAAAAAAAAAAACACTGGGTGGATTTTTATCATTATAGGGTGGTTGTGTACACACATAATGTGCTAATTAGCAAGTTTCACGATGAATACAGCTAAAGTAAACAGTCTGTGAGAGCAGCTCGGAAGAGAGGGGCGGGGTCAGCAGAGCTCATTAACATTTAAAGGAAAATGCTACAAATCTGCATGCTCTGAAAAGAGCTGTTTTGACAGGGTAAAAAAGTGTTTTTTACACTACCATTGAGAAATTTTAACCAAACTATGTTACAGACTTTTCATTAAGACCCTAAAGAATCATATCAACTTGTGGAAAATGGGCATCCAATGACCCCTTTAATGTTCGTAAATGACTGGATAATGTACTGGAAAATTACCAGTAGCCTACTTTTTCCTTTTTATTTATTTTTTCTATACAATGTAGTATAGGCACAACAATATGCGACTGTGGTTAAACTGCCCAAATATAAGATGAAAACCACGGACCTCGTGTGAAAATGCGAGATGAAGAAAAAATTCATTTCAATGTTTTTGGATTTTCTCGCAAAAATTCTCGGAAGGACGCACTGAAATAAAATTTTCTCTCTCCTCTTATTTTCTTTTCTTAGGTGCTCCGTATAGAATTGTCTACATTTGTCTGTAAGCATCTGTCGATCAGAAGTTAGACTATGAAACTAATAAACTGTGCTTACCTTGCTGTGCATCGCTTAAAACAGTGGAAAAGAAAAAACAAATAGGCAAAACAATTCTTATATCTACATAAAACATATTTAAACGAGAGCATGTGAACCACGTTTGTCCTTTAAATTTCAGACGAGTGTCCTGTTTGTTTAAATGACTCGAAATACTTGCTTGACAGGTTCGTTTCCTCATTTAAATTCATTGTCAACAGTATCTATTTAAAAACACACTCATATCATGCTCTCACCACTAGTATGTATAGTTTTTTTTTAATAAAATGAAAAGTGTCTCTATTGATAAACAAGATTTTTTTTCGTAGACTTACTTGCATTGATGAATCATTCACACAATAACAGAAATATGAATTATTAAAGTAGAAATTGAGTCCACTTTAATTTCACATTGATTCAAGGCACCGTATTCAGTGTGTATATAAAAACACACAACATTCACAATAAAGAATGATTTTATGACACAATTTATAAAGTTTTAAACAAATTTACACAATGACGATAAATGCTTTGCAAAACAGTGATTTTCTTAATATTACTTTTAGACGCTGAACCTGGTTGTTGATGTTTTATTTGCTGAAGAATTAGACGTTTAACAAAGTTTTATTAACTGATAATCAAAGTTGTTATCGTGGTTTGATTTTCCTTTAACTTATAATGATACAAAACGTCACATGTGCTCTTGATATTGAACATTACATGATTTTGTTAGTATTTTTGTTTTGCTTTCCAGAACAATTTTTAAAGATACATTACCTTATTTTAAAAATAAGGCCTATAATCTACACTCTCAGAAAAAAAGGTACAAAAGCTGTCACTGGGGCGGTACCTTTTCAAAAGGTACACTTTTGTACCTTTTAGGTACTAATATGTACACTTTAGGTACTTATATGTACCTTTAAGGGACCAATATGGACTGTTTAGGTACAAAGGTGTGCCTTTTGAAAAGGTACCGCCCCAGTGACAACTTTTGTACCTTTTTTTCTGAGAGTGTACAGTGTGAACAGACCCAAATTTAAGTAGATTTTCTAATTCAGTATTTTTGTCTTGTTTTCCAGTACAAATATCGAAACATTCTTAAATCAATATGCATTTACTTGAGAAGCAAAATAAGGTACCAATATGGACTGTTTAGGTACAAAGGTGTGCCTTTTGAAAAGGTAGCGCCCCAGTGACAGCTTTTGTACCTTTTTTTCTGAGAGTGTATGGTTCGGTTCTACTTCTCTTCATTCAAAGACAATTAGATGAGAATAATTTTAATTATCATATTTAAAGGTCTTAAATTTTGTTTTCACACGTTGCATTCATATGAGTTGCGTGAAATGTCTGATATCGGTGAAGATATTCATATCATGTTGCAGCATGTCCAGTACATAAACACACACTCACACTTCATACATTTATTTATGATATTGCACACTGAACACAACACATTGTACAAACAGGCACCTTTTGTCTGTGTCAAACTCTTATATATTTGATCCCTGAGCTAAACCTGGAATTATTGCTAGCACCATAATCATGATTATTCAAGTTACAGGATCTTATAGTATATCACTCTATAGTGTTCCACAATAATAACACTTACAGTACTGTAGATGATGTATTGCACTGAAGAGTGTAACACTGTGACATTGATCTTTTAGGTTCTGTGTGCAACTGCTAATAACAGTGAATAAAATGTGTCTAAGAGCACTTCTGATCGGACCACCGATGCTTTGAATCGTTTCAAGTAGCTCTCACTCGCTGGACTGGGGATCTGAACAATCACTCCAACTTAACTGAGTAACTTCTCATCAGAGCTAGGAAAGATTACAAAGAATATAATAACTTAATCTTGAGTACATAAATACCATGTTCTTGTATGTTTATGTCAAGCTGCAATGATGCCACACTACACATTTTTTTGATAAATATTATGGATAATCTTGTAGTCTGTGTCATTAAATGAAACTCAAATAATGAAAATAATAAAAAACTCACCATCTTAAAATTACTTTCACCATGTTCACATACATAGTTATGCCGTCATATACTGTCAAACTGTTCATACATATTTAAAATATCTTTTAAAGGGGTCATATGATGCGATTTCATTTTTTCCTTTCTCTTTGGAGTGTTACAGGCTCTTGGTGCATAAAGAAGATCTGTAAAGTTGCAAAGACTAAAGTTTCAAATCCAAAGAGATATATATTATAAAAGTTAAGAGTCAGCCACGCCTACCTAAAACGGCTCGTTCGAACACGCCCCCACATATCTACCTCACTATGTGGCAAGATTTGCATAACGCCGCCCAAATGTTCACACAAAGAAAGAAGGCGTAACTTTGACTCTCGCTGTAGTATTGTTGCCGCCACCGCCATGTTCAGTCTCACGCTTGAGGTATTCGGCCAATCACAACGCACTGGATGCCTGGCCAATCACAGCACACCTCGCTTTTTCAGACCGATGAGTTTTGTAAAAATCGACGCGTTTCAGAAAGGCGGGGCATAGAGGAGAAACAATAATGTACAGTATGTGGAAAATAATGTGTTTTTTTTACTTTAAACCGCATAAACACATTTCATTACACCAAATACACAAAATAATGTTCTTTTTAGCAGCATCATATGACCCCTTTAAAAACCCCAAGAGATTTAAAGCAGCAATGATCATGTTGAATATTTATAACTTACCAAATGACTTTTTCTTTTGGTAGAAGCAGTAACCAATCACAGAGAGAAATATAACTACAGCTGCTGCTATTATTCCTGTTATAAGTGACCACAGAGATTCTGTTGAAGAAATAAAATGCATCATAAATACTTGTTGAACAGAGTTTAACCTTAATTGTTTGTGACAATAACACGACAGTATTTAAAGGGCACATGAAATGTAGAATCAAAATGTCCTTGATATTTACACATATGAGAGGTTACTCTAAAATAAAAACATACTTCAAGTTTCACACTAACCATTTCCATCTTTCTGAAACAGCAGAATATTGATTCAAAAGATCAAACTATTAATAATACCCGAGCGAACGAACAGGAATGGTTATGTTTCACAACAGACTCTCACCATGCTTCCAGTTTTTCTAAATATCTTGCATTGAAGCGTTTGTGACAGAGAGTGAAATTGAGGATGGAAGATGATCATTTTTTATACACTTTTTGATACAAAAAACTTCATAAGCTAAACTCCAGAAACATAATATGAGCATCTGAAAATGCATTTCATGACTCCTTTACTTACTTTAAAACATCAACACTCCTCCTTCTACAGTTAGTGATTTGTATGTAATCTTCACATTATAATTGCAGAAGCAGCATCAGTGTATAATGGATACTCTAATCATAATTACTCACCACTTGATTTCTGGTAATATACTGTTACAATCGGCTGTGTCTGAGTCAGACTGCTGTGAATGACCAGACAGTCATAAATCCCTGTGCGATTTGCATCAATCTCCACACTGGTTTTCATCTGAAAGGATCCATCAGCATTTGGTCTGATTCCAGAAGATGTTTGGTTCACAAGAACAGATTCGTACAACCTAATGTACATCTCAATATCTCTGGGGTAGAAACCAGTGGCCAGACAGCTCAGAACCAGCTTACTTTGATCAGGAGCTTTCTTCACAAACACACGAACATCTGGTGAAGCTGGAAAAGAAAATAATAAGTGACAAATATTTATAAAGACCTTGGTTTTGTGTCTGTGGTTTCTGTGCTGTGAAAAAAAAAACGCACAGAAGAACTCAAGTCATATAGGTTTTGAAAGACATGAGTATGAGCCGTTTTAATTTTCATTTCATGATAGTTAGTAGATGTCTAATAGTTTAGTAAGCTGACAGTCAAACTCCTGCAATCCAGATGAACATCTAAGAAGTGAAGAGGATCCCCTGCATGTATGAAATCCTTTTTAAATATTTTTTTTTAGGAGAACTGTATTTTTTTGTGGTTTGCTATAAAAACATAGCAATAAAAACAAAAATAAAAGCAAACAACAAAACAAATACATAAAATACACAAAAATGTCACAACAATTGCTAGATATTAAAAGCCAGTCTAAATAAATAAGTTTTAAGCTTCATTTTAAAAAGGCCCAGGTCAGTAATGGTGCACATATCGGCGGGAAGCATATTCCAGAGTCTGGGCCCAGCTACAGAAAAAGCCCGGTCACCCCAGTGTTTGCACCGTGACCTCGGGTCTTCCAGCAAAAGTTGATTTGTTGACCTAAGAGCCCTGTTGGGCTGACGAAAAGCCAGCATCTCAGTTACATAAGGTGGGGCAAGGCCATTGAGAGCTTTAAAAACAAACAATATCATTTTAAAATCAACTAAAAGAAACTGGAAGCCAGTGGAGCGAATTAAGAATTGGGGTTACTTTTTGTAATGTCTATACAGTGCTTTTAATTTAACACAATAATGACTTTAAATGTGATCAATTTAATTAATTAATCGGCACATCACGTAGGCTAGTTAAATATATAAAAAAATAATCGCTTGACAGCTCTATTTAAAGCATAAAACATAACACAATTAAAATCATGTTAATTTAAACCGGACACCCCACTCCACGTGCTCTGACCCCCTGATGGTCACTGTGTAACTCCCACACTGTTTTCAACTCATTAGTATTTATTTGTCAGTGGATGATGATAAATCGCCTATGCATCGAGACAGAATTAGAAAAAACATCCTCGAGCTGTGTCAAAAACTGATCTGATTAAACATACTCTTATTTGTGTTGTTAAACGTGGAGATCCCGTCAGTGCAGGTCTTCAGGTATTGCTTGAGGAATTGGTTTCGTTCTGTTTGCTGATCCCATTTCATTTTGGTTTCTTTAGCTTTGGGGTTTTTATCAATCCACTGCAGAGTGTCAGAATCAAAGGCCATAAAATCCTCTCCATCAAATCCATATTCATCAAATGCTCTCAGACTCACTGTTCCATCAGGAAGCTTCTCCAGTTCACAACCAATCATTCTCTGAAGAACATGGAGCTCTACAATCACAGAACAACACTCATGATAAACTTGCAGTACATAAAAAATACAAGAAATTTCATAACATGCCTGATAATTGATGACTAAAGCATGAAACTCACCAGAACACTGAGAGTCTGTGCAGTTTGACAGAGTGTTTAACTGATGTAGGAACCAGTCTCTAGAATCAGGTGGTTCTTCAGGAGCATTGATCCAGTTATCTGCAGTCAGACTCGATCTTATCCAAACTCTTTCTTCATTACTGTAGTGAGCGATCTGTCTGCCATCACAGACACCGACAGCTTTGAACACAGGAAACGTGATTGCTTTGCAAAAGCCTGTAAACTTGTAGAAGAGGAAGTGTTTTTCTGAGGAATATAGAAAACACAAACAAAAATAAAAACACGATACACAATATGTAAAATGAGAGGCAAAATTATGTTTGCTAAAAACATCTTAAATATGAACTTGAACTTAAAATGTTTTTAATAGTTTCAATGTTGCTGTGTCATGTCGATCAGAAGGAAGTGCTGTGCACAGAAATGAATGAACCTTGTTCTTACCTTGCCTCGCGTCACTTAGAAAAGGATAAGGCAACAAAAAAATGATTAAGATAATTCTTATGTCTACAGAAAATGTTTTAAACGAGAGACTATTTGCCATTTTTGACCTTAAATATTGTAGATGAGTGCCCTGTATGTCTACATGAAGGGCCCGGCTACAGATTGCACTCATCTAACGCTTCCTCTGACGTCACTAGCAGTCACCAACAGTGGCTCTAGGATTTCTTGGCAGTGCAATGGGGGGACTTAACTATGGAAGCACGTTTCCGCCACTGAATAAAAAATAAAACAAGGTAATTGTTAATCTATATCTCACAATCGTGACTTTTTTGTCAGAATTGCAGTTTACATCTTGCAATTCTGAGGAAAAAGGGTCAGAATTGCAAGATGTAAACTTGCAATTGCAGGAAAAAAGTCAGAATTGCAGAATTTTAACTTGTAATTCTGACTTTTTGTCTCAAAATTGCAAGATATTAACTCAGAATTGCGTGATATAAACTTAAAACAAAAATAACGACTTTATTCAACAATTTCTTCTTTTCCGTGTCAGTCTCCTTCGCTGTTCACGAGAATACCATGACGCATGCGCTGCGCCTTGTTTACGAGCAGAGGAATGCATTACAAACATTACACACCATCAGCTATTAACCTTTAAAAAATGGTTTCCTGTAGTGTGTTTTTGGACGTATTCCATCAGGATTTAATGGTTTTAACATGCCACCAATAAAAGGCAACAAATTACCAGTCGAGACCAACAGGGTCTATCACAGTTTCCATTAAAACCAGTAAAACCATTACAAATGTGATGGTTTCTATTGTTTTTTCAGCAGAGAACACTTCAATGGTATGAGACGACTGGATGGTTTGATTTCCTATGAAACTGTCAGCACTGAACTGCAGTGTCTAACTATTGATAGTGAATTTAGCTACAAACTGGATCATAATGCACAATGTTTCCGTCTAACATGTATTTTGAGCTGCAGCTCATCATATTAATGGAGTGTTTCATTAGTTAGCAGTAAACCGGTTACCTCACCTGAACATGTTCGTAGATTTGTGTTGGATGTCTTCGACGTTTAAAGCATTTATCTTCGGAATGGAAATATCGATATTTTATTTGTAAATTTTTTTCCGCTTATTTCAATTAATCTCATAAAACTAGCGAGCTAACGGTTCTGACGGTGTAGTATAAACATGACTGAAGGCGCAAAAGCAGAGTAACAGACATCCGATTCAATTGAGTGAGTCATTTACGCTGGAACCGTTCCGATTGATTCGTGACTTCGATCATTAAGTTCGATCAAAAGAGGAGTGGAAGAGGACTCCAGTGGCAACCTGTGAAGCTCTGGTGAACTCCATGCCCAAGAGGGTTAAGGCAGTGCTGGAAAATAATGGTGGGTGCACAAAATATTGACACTTTGGGCCCAATTTGGACATTTTCACTTAGGGGTGTACTCACTTTTGTGGCCAGCAGTTTAGACATTAATGGCTGTGTGTTGAGCTATTTTGAGGGGACTGTGAGATACTGTAGCCATCTTAGAATGATAAAAATCCATCCAGTCTTTTTTTTAAATCTTCATAAAACCAAACCAGGCTCAAAAAACGAGCGGTTTGGATCCTGTCCGCAATATGACGTCATATTGCAGTAGCCCCGCCCACCGCTATTGACTGACAGGCGCATATAACCATGTACTCAGCTCTCAGTAGGCTCGTTCGAGATGCATCGGCGCTGCACAGAACGATCGATGAATGACATCAAAGTACCGCGAGAGCCATAATAGAGCAGACGACTCTTTATGCTTTTGAATTGCTCTCAAAATCGCGGTACTTTGATCGTTCTGCGCAGCGCCGATGCATCTTGAACAAGCCTCTTGTGTTGTGCCAACTGATCTATAATAGTCATTATATAAAGATGGTGGTTGTGCCATGTCCGCCATTTAGTCTGCGTGCGATCGGCTGTGTCGCATCCATCGTTACAAAGCGGCTGTGAAAAACTATACAAGTACATAAATGATTCAAACTACCATTCCGAGACATTCTGGTTCATTCGCATTATTGTTTTTTCTGCTGTCCGGTTCGTACATGTACGGCTGAATACCGGTCCTCTCACTCTCGCTCATGTTGCTTCTCCTCTCTGTTTATTTCCATATGCAAAGCAGAGACGTCTAGGCTCCGCCCCCTTCTCGATTCTGGCGGGAAGTTGCAGCTCATTTTCATGTAAGGGAACACACCCCTGAAACAGCACTTTTTAAACCCGCCCCAAAAATGACACTTTTAAACACGTTATAATAAACGATCTGTAGGGTATTTTGAGCTGAAACTTCACAGGCACATTCAGGAGAGCCTTAAGCTTAATATTACATCTTGTAATATCGTGTGTGTGTGTGTGTGCACTTGGATGGGTTAAATGCAGAGCACAAATTTCGAGTATGGGTCACCATACTTGGCCACAGGTCACTTCACTTAAAAAGGGGCATAATAGGTGCCCTTTAAAAAAAGAATTGCTTATGAAAGTCATTTGTTCAGTAGGTAAAATTCTTTATTTTTGCTTTTTATTTATTTTAAAAAGGAACAATGTAGATACACATTCAGATAATTGTAAATAATTGTAGCCGAAAGTCATTTTCATTGACAGTACGTTTCGCTGATGTTGTTATGCCAAAAATAGAAAGAAATAAAAGAGAAAAAAATAAAGAAATAATCTTCAAATTCACATTCAATTCTGACTCCAAACTAGGGGTTGCACCGACTAATCGACTAGTCGACTTCAGTGCTCTGCCATGACGCTTTAAGCTTGACGTAATTTCGAGTATGGGTCACCATACTTGGCCACAGGTCACTTCACTTAAAAAGGGGCATAATAGGTGCCCTTTAATTTTGGGGGGCCCATCTTTAAAATGAGGGGGCCGCTCTATTTTAAAGGGATAGTTCACCCAAAAATGAAAATTAGCTCATGATTTACTCACCCTCAAGCCATCCTAGGTGTATATGACATTCTTCTTTCAGATGAATACAATCAGAGTTACACTACCGCTCAAAAGTTTGGGATCAGTAAGACTTGTAATGTTTTTAATGAAGTCTCTTCTGCTCATCAAGGCTGCATTTATTTGATCAAAAATACAGAAAAAAAACAGTAATCTTGCAAAATGTTATTACAATATAAAATAATGGTTTCTATTTTAATATCCTTTAAAATATAATTTATTTCTGTGATGCAAAGCTGAATTTCCATCATCATTACTCCAGT